TCGGGCATACCCATCTTTCTCAAACGGTTTCTATACCGCTTCAAAGATCGGTGCCCTCCATCCCGGCAATCAAACACAGTGCCCAGTGTTGCGGGGATTGACTGACTTTACACTTGTCGAATGCCATCGAAATATTTGAGAATGTAGGTCGACACTGAGGTTCACATTTCCAATAAAATTCTGTTCATCTGCACAATAGTTTCACATTTTGACGATTAACTGAGAAATACGATAAAAGGCGAAGAATAGTATAGTTTTGGGTAGTCGTTCGAGTATGTTTAAATTAAAAGCAAATGACAATGTGCGTGGTACTACTTTTATGGAGGCTACTGAAACGTTGATCTCGGATTCGATATCATCAAACACAAATCCATCGCTACGGCAGTATGTGCAGTTAGGCAGTAATTGCGGCTTATGTTTAGTTTTCAGGCAACAGCACTTTATCACTTTTTCCAACGGAAGTAACCCTTGTGGGCGATTTCGGAATTGCTACCCTAAACTGAAAGTTCCGAGTTCAGTGCTCAAACGATAAGAAATGCAACAGACCTCTCGGTCAAGTGCTTATTAGTTACAAAGCATAAAACACCTCGTCGAATGACATGGCAAATCTGTTTAGAGATTTTAAATAGGAAATCTCTGATTGGCTAGACAATGGCTGGCGCAATTCATTAGATATATTTACAGTCCACTCGCACTTTTATGACAGCCGGGAATTCTTGAAAGCTGTATGATGCGTATCGAAATTAGTATAGAAGTAATTATATCAGCTCTGTCAACTGTCCTACTGCATGTGCACTAATAGAAAAGGATTTAAAATAATCCTTCACGAGGGGGTCATTCCTAGTTTTATGCAAAGTATGACAATTAGTCTGGCCATACGGGATTCAATATACGAGAAATCTGTGCAACTACTAATTATTGTGGAAGAAAGTGAGACCAAAGAATTTACGAAGATACGCTGGCAAGAACCGAAGTTGTACAAGCGGCTAATACCATAAGAATCAAGAATACCGTAAGCACTTTCAATACTAAGTACAAACGGTCCAATTATATTTTCCTTTACATTATAAAACGCTGTTTTATTCAGACGTTTATTTCTGGCCAACGGAGAACTTCATTTCGAGATGACACGCTTATTGATTCTGCTGGATTTTAAAACGAATTGAAGAAGTAACTGGGGATCGTCGAAAAGTCGCAATTTTGCTGAGGGTAGTAACGTTACTGAGGCTACT